ACCCCTGAGAACTGTCTGTCCGGGGTGGGGGTCGGGACCCTTTAAGCACAGCCCTCGGCTAGCCTGAGACAGCATCTCCACGCTCTAAGTCCTCCTCTGATGCCCTGCCGGCACTGCTTCCGGCCATCCTTAAGCCGGTTCAGGGTCCACTTAATGTGGACATGCTAGTTCGCATTAGCAAAACGCTAATTCGAACTAGTTTTTTAGTCTGGATCCGTTAGTTCGAATTAGCTTAGTTCGAATTAACTAATTCGAACTAAGTTAGTTCGAATTAACGTTGTAGTGTAGACATACCCAAAGTGAATGGAGAAACAAGCAATGAAATACTGCATTATGCAATTTTCTAATACTGAGACTTTATAATCAGCCCTCTAGTCCATTTATTGTGGGGGGCCGACAGGAAAACAAATTTACTGGAAATATATTTATTCATTGATGTTTGTGTGCAAGCAGTAGTATCTAGAATAGGTTCAGTCTTGTTGCTGAACAGCAGTGACTCTGGGGGTCCTTGAGGTATATCAGAGTTTCTCCTTGGAAGAGAACATAGTGACAAATACTCAGGGTATTTCTGACAACAATAAATAGACTGGCTTTACATCTCAGTTACATTTGTGTAAATGAGGAATAACTGCATTGAAATAAAGTGGCATTTCTGTGCCAACCATACCAATCTAAATTAGATCAGAATCTGGCTATGTCTACACTGTCATCACACTACACACACATACAAATTGTGATAATTTAAGTACCTTTATTAGGTCAAAATATCCGTTTGTTCTCTGTTTTATATTTTTGTGTGAAGAATGCACTTTGTTCAAACCAACTTGAGCTAAACCTGTGACTATTTTAAGAACTACTCAATATATGTTTTGTAGCGGTGCATGTGCTACTGATGTTAATGTTTTCATTTTCATTCTATAACGGACCTCAAATCCTTTCTGCTTAATGCTAATACCACAACAATTATGCCAATTACCTCTCCTGCCTTGGATGTATGTACATTGCTCCCACAGATTTTGTAGGGAGGCCTGCCTGTCTGCACATTCAAATGACGCTTTATATATATTTCATATACAAAAGGGGAGTCTGTTAGATTGTGTACATGTGTTAACACCATTCAGTTGCTAGTTATTTATTTTTTCAATATTTCCTTATGCAAACAAAGCTTAAAAGGCTATCTTGCTCCATTCTGTGTTTGGTTCATATTTGCCTGCCTCCTCCTTGAGTTGCATGGTTAGGAGTCATTCTCCTCTAGAAAATGGCCTGGTTTCTAAGCACAAAGCTTGAGTCAATCATAGCCCAGTAGTGCTTTGTAGACTTATTTCCTTCCTACACTCCTAAAATTTGCTCTTCTCCTGAACACTCATTGGATGCATAAATTTAACCACTCCAGTTGCAAAAGCTGCTTGAGATACTTTTGTTAAAAGATTTACTCCAGTGATATTTGAGAACAATAGGAAATGATCCAGGCAACTGTCCTTTATCTCCTTGATTCTGTGCCTGAGTCTTACACCGGCTGCCCAAGAAAAGGGAAGTAAGAAGAGAGAACGTTAGAAATCCGTGGAAATAAATTAGCTGCCACTGAACTGTCTGGCCCAAGTGGCTTAGGGACAGGTGAAAGAAATGGACACCACCTCAGTTCCCGTGTCCAGAGAAGCGTATTTGCTCTCAGCTTCAATTTGTCTGGAACTTTCCTGCATTTTGACAGAGTCCCAGATCTAGCTATCTGCCTCTTAGCTCTGAATATTCAGAACTTCAATGTCTGCTTAAAAGTCTGTTCTTGCAGGCTTCAGAAGATGCCTGGTCCTTTTCCTAACTCACTGTCCACTGTTGGGTCCTGTGCCTCACTGCAGTAGCAGAGGGAACAGTCTAATGGCCCTTTCCAGCTGCAGCAGTTAGCCCAATTTAGGAGGTAAGGAAGGGAATGCTGTTTAAGGGGCAGAAAGTAAAAGGGGGAAAACATGAGGAGACGGTCGTGGAAGTAGAGAGAAATAAGGGGTCAGAAACAGAAGTGAGCAAATATTTGGGTAGGTATTATAACATCATCCAGTCGCTGATGTCAGGAAGTGAGAACTGGTGGAACTTCAGCATAAAAGGCCAACGGGGAACAATGAGAGAGGATGGGGGGAAAAACCTATATTCTTTCCCTTTTGCAGAACATAAAAGAGAAATGAGAGAGAAGAGTAATGGGTATCTCTGGGTAAGAAAAACATGAAATTTAAAGAGGAAAGCAGTTCTTTCACCTGCCTCTTACACCAGCGAATGACAGTAGGTCTTCAACCAACAATGCTAGGTTGGGGAAGCCATAGCTTGTTGGTACAGGAAGGGCTTGTGAAAATGAAAGGAAAGCAAGAATAGCTGCTGTGGTACTAATAGCCATTTAAATAATTTAAAATCAACCAAAATGTGCTCTGTAGTCTAAAAGCTCACAGATCTCTAACTAGTTTTAAGAGTAATCTCTTCACAATGTGAGGAAAGGGTGCTGGGGCTTTGATGGTGGTAGCTAGGTAGTCTACCCCTCTCTAAGGACATTTACAACTAAGGTGAGAACAAGCATTTAGGATTTATTGAAGGGCCATTTCATTGTCCCTCTACAGCCAGCAAGGAGTTTAGCTGAGCAGACCTTTCTCTCTGTGTGGATTTCCTAGTAAAATCAGGGCTAACCATGTGAAGGGCCATTAAAGGTTCCCTAAACTCATCTAGGCACAAGAAGCTCTAAAGATCCTGCCATGTGAGAAGATTTTGCAGTATACCACTCAGAGAGGAAGAAATTGCAGAAAGAGATGGTTCAGTGAAAGGGGAATAAAGTATTTTAAGAAAATTATAGTTTGCATTGATTTTAGTGTTTCTCTAATTAAAAGGAAAAGTTTATTGGTAACTTGGTTATATTTTGTCAGGAATCGGCATATTTGTTCAAAAATATGTCTTGTTCAGTTTGGTCACTGGATTGGGATTTATGCATGCAGATTAATGTACACAGAAATTTCCATTTGCCTGTCATCTTTACCGTAAAATTTAGATCTGCAGGTAGGAACCATTTACAGTGGATACAATTTTCCATTTGCTAACATTGGTTCAGCCTCTCTGTGTTAACCATACTGAGAATCTTAATGTAAATGGGCTTCTGGCTGCAACTGACAGTTTTTAACATTGCCATATAACCCTGCTCAGAACAGGCCTAATCAAATGAGATTTTATAAACACCTGCTTCAGCTATCAGTCAATATACATCTTTCCCTTGGCCCCTTAGAAATCTGCCTTTGTAAGACAGTCATGCAATGCTAAAGAATTTATCCTGTGTTTTTTTTCTTTTCCATCGTGTTCCCAAAAAGTAGATACAAATTTGCAGAATTAAACAGAGTGGTTAGAAACATTAAAGCCATATAGTTATTTTAAGATATGTGTATGTTTTCGTTATATTGATGTCACTATCAGCAGTTTAAAGAGAAGAATCTCTTTATCCAGTAGCAAAAAATAGAGGTTGATGTTAGATTATTCTATCAATTCAGGACAATAATCAAATAAGAGTCTCCTAAAATATTAACATAAAACCTTAGTCATATTTCACATTTACTATACTGTTTATATCCACCATACATCAAATTAATTTTGTGTTAAATTATATCTGTCATCTGAAAAGAAGTATGTATTTGGATTTTGAAATTTAACTTCTATTCCAATCATCAGTAGCTTTTATTTTTTAAGTTGAATACACCTATGTATTCAACTGATGTAATTATAGTAAATTGTATTTTTAAAGTTTAATATATAATAAATTGTCTTTACCCCAATATTTTGTTTGAATGTTGTTATTGTAAATCATATCTCTCTATCAGTCTAACCATTCAGATTTGTTTATTTGTGCAGAATAAAGGAGTTTTAATCTGCAGTAATATATTGGATTGCCAAAAGTTGTATAGCTAGGCATGCATTTTATTTATAGGTCCATGTGAATGAGTTTTCATTTTTGTTTTAATTTTCTTACAGTATCTAAGAAAGGGAGGGGGTCTTTTTGTCTTTTCTATATTTATTGTTTGGTCAATTGATTTCAATGATATTGCACATAAATAAAATTACTTGTGTGCTTAAGTGTTTTAAAGATGGACCCACAGTTTGTAAACTACAGATTGAACCTGTCTCTAGTATGGCACCCTCAGGACCTGACCAGTGCTGAACAAGAACATTTGCTGAACCACAGGAGGTCAATTTGTCTAGCAGCATAACCAACATTTTTACTCCTTACTGGGTTCCTAGAAGACATTTAGGAGTAAATTAGAGGTAAATAACAGCACAGAACACTGAGAGCCAGGACTGGTGGCTGTAAACAAACTTTATGAGAGCATGGGAAACTTGGGCACATCCATAACAAGTGGACATCTGACTAACTAAAATCATGCCGGACCTTGAATGTTGCTGAATCAGAGAATGCCAGACTAGAGACGTTCAACCTGTATTAGTGACTCTATTAAGATGAACGGCACCATATAAATATACAATTATTTTATTATGTCTGTATTCATTTAGACATCACCTTATATTCTTGAAAAAGATTAATTTCTGGTTTATGGGTCGAATGTTTTAAAAAAGTCTGACTGGAATCAGATTCTTCAGAATTCTGGAATCTGAGGCTATGTCTAGACTGCAGGCTTCTTTCAGAAGAGCCTTTTTTCGGAAGAGATCTTCCGAAAAAACTTCTTCCAAAAGAGAGCATCCACACACAAAAGCTCATTGAAAAAGCAATCTGCTTTTTTGAAAGATAGCATCCACACTGAATGAACACTATCTTGCATTTAGCTGTGACTACTATGGATGGAGTGACCACCAGGTGCTCTTTCCTCTTCTTTCGGAAGAACTCTCTCTTCTCCATCCACACACGCCTTTTACAGAAAGAGCTCTTTCAGAAAAGGCTTCTTCCATGTAGAAAGAGGATTACCAACGCTGGGAAAACCCTTCTGTTCTTTCAGTTTACTTTTGGAAGAACACGATTGCAGTGTGGACGTAACTCAGGTTTTGTCAGAAAAACAGCATACCCTGAAATGCCATATGCTTTCTTCCACAGTCACCAAACAGGCTACATTTATTTCCTAAATGCAACCTTTAATTTAAAAAAACCAACAAAAAACCTTGCTATAGTTGAAGGTGCTACAGTTATGATAAATGCAAAACATCAGTCACCTTGTCCTACTGGGTTTTTTTTTCCAGTTTTTGTAAAAATAGAATGTATAACTAGTTACAAATGATTATAGGGAACTCTAGAATGAACAGGAAAATTCAAAGATAAGTGACATCCCCACAAAAAAACTCTACTCCTTTTGCTTAACACCTTGAAGTATTTTATCTAAACAAAGTCTGATACACAGAACACATTATTAGCACATCTAGGAAATGTCACAATTTAATTGTGAAAATCAGTTATGTGAAAAACAGTGTTTCCAAATGATTTAGTAACTATTTACTTAGCCAGGAATAGAATCCATTCTTAGGAAGATTTCTCAATGTGTTAAATGATATAGTATCAGACCATATAGTCTGATGAATCTGTATATGTAAATTGCAGAAAGGGATTAATGGGGTACTTACTAAATGCTTAATCCATCTAAATTGAGGAGCCTGGATCAGATGAGAGTGGTTAGTGGTATGGATGGCTGTTGCAAAGCACAACGCAACAGAGGGGCCCTTCTGGAAAGGAAATACTTTAACAATGACACTTTATAGTAAATCCTGTTGTATTATACCATGGCATCTTTCAATTATTCATGGAACAATGGTCACTCCCCAGTACATAATGAGGCTTTTAAATGTAATGTTGAAAAAGGCTGAGGATTCTCCTTTTTGTTTGGAAAAAATACTGATAAAGATGACAGGAAATATATTTATTTCCAATTGCATGCCACAGTAGTCCACACAAAAGGTAATTTCAATATAATGTAGTGACAATGTTGTATTGTGAGTTTGACAATCTCCTTGGTTAAACTAATTAACTATAGCTTATATGTAATTGCTGAACCCCTTCTTTGCTACTTTGGTTTGTTGGTTATCTGCTGTGAACAGACTGCTATCTACACATCTAACTGACTCTTTACAGTGGAACAGGGCATCTCAAAGATTATAGAGTTACATTTTAATATCCTGAATCTCCGAAGTTCCCGTTCTGTAGCGACAAAGACTGCAATTCTGTAGGGATGGCTAGAGACCTACACTTTATCAAAGCATGTGTTTACATGCACAATTTTCTGTTCGCAGATCCTTCAGCCTTTCAATTACAAGCTCTTCTGAATGAGATAAGTACATCACATTAATGGAAGATCGCTTCTGGGGCACACAGTGGAAACTACAAGCAAAAAATCAAACAAAGCTGAAATTAGTTTTAGCTGGGGGGAAGTTATCTCAAGACACTATTTGATTGAAATTTGCAATACCAAAGTTATAGCACCGAAGGAAGAAATTACATTACCTAAAAAATAAGGACTACCATTTGGAGAAGCAAGGAAAGTTATAAACTTTTCCCTGACAACTCCTCTTCCTCATCCCCGCTAATAAAACCCTCGCACCACAGAATGGTGTTGCTGCAGAGGAGAATTTTCACAATGAAAATTTAACTTGTGAATTTCTAGGTGCTGACTCGGTGGGTGCTCTGTGGCTGAAGCAGCTATGGAAAAAAGGGGATGCTCAGCTCCTTTTCTCCCCTCAGCACCTCCTACAGGCAGTGAGCCCTGCTGATTGGCTCCTCCTGCTCCCACCCAGCCCTTCCTGCCTTCCTCAGTTAGGTGTTCGGTAATGCACAGGAGGCACTGGTGAGGAAGAGAAAGGGGTGGGAAGAAGTGGGATGAGAGCAGAGCTGGGCAACAACTGGCCCAAATGCTGGAAGTGGAAGGGAACTGGGTCTGGATCTGGCTACTGGGACCTTGCAATGTGGCAGTTTGGTGGCTGCTTGGAGAGCCTGACTGTGGAGGTAACTGCCCGTTCCCATCCAGCCTTGGGTGCTGGGGATGAGAGGCGAGCAAGCCAGAGCTCCCACTCCACCCCAGTACGTGTCTAGCAGTAGCTGCTTCCCTATTCTGGGAGGAGTGTTAGAAGCAACTCCAGACCAAGCTTCCTCCTTCCAGTGTTAGAACATGCTGCGGGGGAGTGGGGCGGGGAGGACGGAAAGGGGGAGGCATAGTGGGAGGATAGGGCACCTGTCTCCCCTGCAGGTAACAGGAGGAAGGGAAAGCACAGTGGCCCTGAACTGGGGGTGGAGGATGGTTGGCGGGATGGGGGGAACATGTATGGGACACCAGTATGGGTGTCCGAGTGCCTTTGGGATAGGGGTAGGAAGAGGTGAGGCAGGGATGGGACCTTGGGGAAAGTGATGGAATGGGAACATGGCCTGGGATGGAGCACCCACCCCTCCCCCAGGAAATCAGGATGTTGACACCTATGTGTGAATTAGAACTGGACCAGAAAACAAACCCAGATCCACACATCCCAAAGTGTGGTCTCAGCCACCCCAAACTTTGAGGGTATTTGAATACAAACTTTTTATGATCAGTGCCCATTTCTACTGTGAATGTCACTTCACTTAAGGCTATCCCAGATATGTTTTGTGTGTGTGTGAAATATTTCTCACTATTTATTTATTTAAAAAAAGTTACATTGCTGGTTCTTTCCTGCTCTCTGTAATATTTGTCTCAAAACATGTCAAGTGTTTTCTGAATTATATATATTGGAGCCTGGGTTTTTTAAAAGGAGTGTTAGATGTTCAACTTTGATTAACTTTCAATAGGAGTTAAGCACTTGTCTGTCTTGGGCCCCTTTGAAAATGCCAGCAGGAGGTTTCAGCTATTTCTGGAGCTAGTTAACGCTTCTGTTCCACATGGTATGCTATGTTTATTCAGACAGACTGGTCTTTGTAATGTTATAAGCCCAATTCTTAATTTTAGGAAAAACTTGTTTCCATACAGTGGCTTTAGCATTAAGGATATATGGGCATCTATTGTCCTTTTTAATGCATTACCTCGTCCAGTTTTCTGTCTTATTTATTACACCTTGATGTGCTTCAGAGAGCTCTCTGGATTCTTCATTGAAGCATTCTCCTCTTAAAGAAATAGTACATGTTATTTTAGAATCTGCTGCAGCTGAATGTGCTTTTACAAAATAAGTTTCAATACTATGATTCAATGGTGTTAGCCCATTTGCTAAATGGGGGACATTATTGTCTTACTGAAATAGCCTGCTTAAATAGCATTTGTAAGTGCAAGAGAATAACAGTTTGGAAGTATAGAAGAAAGGCTCAAATTAACATCCTTAAAGTTAATTTTTTTCCCATTGTACAGACCCGTACCATTCATCCATAAAGTTAATTTTTTTCCCATTGTACAGACCCATGTCTCTCACTTCGCATGCTCCTTTCCTCTATTCCGTGCTTTCCCCTTCTTCCCCTGCTGCCTAGAAGTAGAAACATTTTCCTCACAAGACTATATGTCAGGTGTGTGTTAGGTATGACAAACTATGTTACATTTATCATATTTTGGCCTAGGATTAGATACCTAAGAACATCTAAACATGCTGGGTTATCCAAAGCGAACCTGCTCAATCTTTTTACTAAGGAAAGATAAAATGGGACGTCTGATTACATTGAAGTGATTAAGCGTAATCTGTGTTAATTTTTTTTTTAAATCTGAGAGCATCTTCTGCTTTTCTTACCTTCCAATACACTTCTGAGTGAGAAGTTATTAGGATTTGTATTCGACCCTATTGATCCTTTTTGCTACTGCAGGATAATGCATGTGCCTAGATAAAGGTTTTAACAGATTTACTTCAGTACAAGACAGTATGTCCAGCCACTACAAAACCTATGTGTTGCTTTTGTGGATATATTAACCACAATATATCTCAGAAATTGTGTTTCAGCTATTAGTTAGATACTTCACTAAAGACATATCAGAACTTCACTGCTGTGGCACCCATGCTGTTCTAGTGTTTAGTTTCCAAACACTGACAAAACACCCATACTAAACAGTGGGTTCATTAAGATATCTATATTTGCACATTTGGCGCCATGCTGAGAGCAAATTACTGAATTATTGTGACATAGACTAAATCTGAACCCAGTTCTCTCAAGGAGAAATAATGTTCCATTTTAATCCCCAATTCTTATTCTAAATGCTAAAAATAGCAGGTATATCCAGCAACTGTGCTGCTAGACATACCTGGTATGAATCTTTCAAATGGATTTCCCATAGCCAACAGTTTCTAGAACTCTTGCACATTCCTACATCATTGAAGAGGTTTTAAAAGGTGGCTACTTGCAAAAACTTGTGAAGAAGCCAGGAGGCTCCAGAATCCAATGGCTCAGTTGTATTGTCTGAAAGTTCACGAAGTGCTGGTGAAGGCTGCACTGTTCTAGTGTGGAATCTTCTGGCAAGTTTCTTCGTCTCTCTGTAGCACAATGTTGACATTCTCCAGCAGCCTGCTGTTTACTTCCACCATACAGCTCAGTCACCAGGAAGCGATAAGCCACCAGTAAAGGCTCACTCTGGGTGCATCTGTTCAAACAGTACAGGCTCTTAGTCAGAGCTTCATGGAGAACCAAGCTGCCACTGTCGTCTGTGAATCGTAGCTGAAAGCCTATGACATCTGAGATGGTCTCATTCAAAATGGCTGAAATGTTAAAGACGTCGTAACCAGATGGCGGGAGCTCATCCAATGCCAACACTTTCTCATCTAAGGCATCGCTTTCTGTGAGATTTCCCTGGACCATGGAGATGCTATGCACAGTAACGTTTACTGTCAGTGATTCTGGGTGTAGAGTCTTCCTGAGAAGAACTAATTCCTCAAGTCTCATGGAAGGTTTCAGGTAAGAAATATTGAACCATAGCCATCCTGGAATGCCAAACTCTGGATCTAGGAGAACAATTAATGTACAATTTTATTTCACTTATGGGACATGTAGACAAGGAATTTGAAGGGGAATCTCTCATGCAGAGAAGTTATGCTAGAAGTTTCAGTGGAGCGGAGAAAGTGGACTCACTGGGCAAGGAGGGAGAAGAAGAGGATGAGGCCCCTTAACCCTGGTAGTTTCTTTCCCCAATAGTTCAACAGAATCCAAGTTTGTTTATACTCAGGGCATTGTGAAAGGCCTATTTATATTTTGCCGCATTCGAAGGCTGAAGGAGGTGCTTTTGGGAAAGAATAGGGAGGGAAGATGAGTTTCTTGTTTAGCAGCGAGAGGATTGTGTTTTGTTGTATCATAAGATTTTTGTCATTGCCATTTTGTGTCAGTTAAATTATTTTAAAATGTGATTTCTCTTTCTGTGCATGTACCGAGAAATTCTCAATAGGTGCAGGTTAGAAAAACAATGAATTATTGAAGCGTGCTCGAACAGAGTAAAACTATTATGAAATCCAGAGGTCAGCTCCCCCTCCCCCCCGTAAGCTCTGGTTGATTTGTATTGTTCTCAGGATAGTAAGTCACCATAAATCTGGGTGGAGGCACTAAAATGTCTTAATAGGGTGTCCCACTGAATCTGGCCCTTCTCTTGTGAAACTTTAAAAATATTGTTGCAAAACATAACCTGAAATAAGAAATCTGTGTTTATTTAGAAACATACTATGACCTTCAAACCAATACATTTCTGGAGGATATTGTATTGCTTTTTAGTAACTTTAGTATTACCTTTGTGAATATTTTTAAACATGTCTATTAAAAGATGTGTTCGGAGACATACATTTGTTTGCAAGGGCTGAAGTTTCAACTTTGAGCATATTTGGTTGTTTGCTTGTTTTTAATGGCTGAGTTGTACATCCCTGACATGCAGTTGATAGAACAGAAATGTTTACAGGCTCTTAATGAAATGCGGCAGGGCCGTAATAACCTTACCTTGTTAATTATCTCACTGTTTCACCTGTTCTGGAGGGAGATGTGCAGCCTGGTTTTGCTGCCAACTCAGATTTGGCTTTTTATTTATTTTTAACAGAGATTTCCAACTATGTCAGTGTATGCCAAATTTTTATTTCATTTAAGACAGTATATTGGATGTCATCCAAGATCTAAGGTTCCTAGTGGGTTTCACCAAACTCTTCTGTCTTTTTCCCCCTGCATCTCTCTTGCTCACTAATTGTTTTTCGTCTCTCTTTTATATCATGCTTTTTATTTGTTTAATATAATCCAAGATCATCTTTTTGTCTACTACCTGGATTTTGTGGGATCTATGCCTTAGGCTCCACAAAATAGGGCTGCAGAGACCCTTGCCGTGTCCCTTGGTAAGGTGAGAGGGGACTCGTCTCCTTGCCCCTGGAAGGGGCAGGACCTCTTCAGGGGTCCTCATAGTATGCTGTGTGGAGCTTTGGCTGTGATATAAAAGACCCCAGGCTCCGGCCGTTGCTATAGTATTGGCAGTGGTGGGAGCCCTGGGGTCTTTTAAATCATTAGGCCATAAAACAGCTGCCCCTTTGCCCCTTTTGTGTTGGTGGCTCTGCCTTAGAGCTGAATTCCTCACTCAGCTATGTGCACACCAGCCCCATCAAGATCGGTACAACTGGCACACACGTCTGACAGCTGAGTTTGGTGCTAAATAAATCAACTAAATCATCTTAGAATGATGGAGGAAAATATTTATTTCTCATCTGATTGTATATTAAAAGTAGGCAGCTTATTGGCAGTTGGGCATGGAAATCAAAAGATGAGTTGCTTAAAATGCATCCTTCTAGGACCCACCAGTGCACTGAACTCTGGACAGGATGGGATGAGCAGAAGTCCTGTAACAAAACTGCATAATTGGGGTACTGAGAACCATTGAACTGAACAGTGTAAACTATACCTGATGGAAACCACTTCAAGCCAGGGGGTGTGGCTTACGGTGCATCCCCTAGTTCTAGCACCTATGGGGATGGGTTGTTGGAGTATTAACTAACTTCTAGGATACAACAGCAGAAATGGAAGGGGTTTTGTGAGAAGGAAATAGTTTTAAAGCGTAGTTCTGCTTCTGGTGTGGATAGGACCTTAGTCTTCCACTGTAGACACTACATTCAGCCTCATCCAGCACAAAAGATGTCCTGATTAGCTGATTAATCAAAATTTAACATCCCTAACTCAAATTGCGCATCTTATTTTGAGTTACAGTGCAGTGTAGATGCACCATCTCTGGTAATCATGACATTTGTGGTATTTTACGTAACAAGATTACACGTTGGCAGCAAATGTTCAAATTAGAGTGTTAAGTCACTTGCATAAAATCTCCAGAGTTCTGAACTATCAGCCTTAATAGTTATATTATATACATACAGAGGTCATTCTGGTTTCACTGCCCTAGCAGTGCGACAGGCACAAAGGAAACAAACTAAAAATAAAACATGAGAAGTAAATTAGATTTTTAAAAACTAATTTTTAAACATGTCAAATGTTGTTAGTAGTATGAGTAAGGAGTTTTTGGTGTGGTTTGTCTTGATGATAGTCTGCATGAGTCTACATGTGCAGGTAGTTTCATGTGGTGATTTAAGTTTAGGTGGTTGGGAATTAGGGTTGCTTCTCATTTCTAAATTGCTTTGTCTTCAGATCAGTCACTTAAAAGAAATTGATGTCCTAACCATTTTTATTTAACTCTTGCCAATGAGACTGCATAGAGATCTCTCAAATCAATGCCATGCATTATAAAGCTTCTGATGCTGATGTTGAAACTGTAAAGTAATAGATTAATCAAACAATGTCAATAATAACGAGAAAAAGAAAAGCTTTCAAACTAGCAATATTCACCCCACAACTTAGTTTATCATGATAATATTTAAAGGTATTCAAGATATGATGTAAACCACAAATAAACAGTGGGCATTTACCTACCTTGGATGCTCCTGAAACTCTGTACAAGAGTCCCTTCACTGTTTGAAAAGTCACTGGTAGCTGGTGGGTTTCGTAGGTGATAGACTAACTTCATGTAGTGGTGAGGCTTGGTCCTGAGAGGTGTGGATAACTTATTGATATGTAGCATTTCCAGGATGGCCTTGCTTAACTGTTCATCTGTTCCCCAGATAAGCTGGCATTTCCCTGCCTCTGGGAAGTGAGAACAAAACATTAACAGCAATCCAGAGCTGAGTCCTAAAAACAGAGAAATAATGCTCATGGCGGGTCTATGAGTAAACAAAGTTTTAGAGAAAAAAATGCAGTCTTTTGCTGGCTCCTTGTGTTTTGTCTTCTAGCTATAATTGAAGAGGGGTAATAATACTCAGCCAGAAAACTGCAGATAATTAGTAGCAAGGACTTAGTGCCATTGGCACTGCCCTGAAAACTAATTATGGGTAAACAGAAAGCCCTAGAAGATTTCATTCAGAGGATGTGTATTTGCTGCACGCACACACACACACAGACAAACACACACACACACACATATTCCCTTGTTTTCTTTCTCACTGGTTTTCTGTTGGGACAAAAGCCATTTTATATGTTGTGAAGATGATGTATAGAATTTGTGTTTCTATTTTTTAATACAGTTTTTTTCATTTAGATTGAGTGGCTCGTTGTTATGGAAACGGAAATCCCTTGATTTCTTCACAGGCCGTTTGTGGCAACAGTAACAATAATGCACGCTTTCCCACACTCCCTACACAAATGACATTAACCTTGACTTGGGAAGACCACCCGCTGCATATATAAGGGGTGGTTTATTCTGCATTCAACCTCAGTCCCATGTCTTTAGTGAGCACAAGCTGCCAGTTGTCCTAAATCCTTCCAGAATACTGTGCATTGTTTGTACAGCTAGCTGCTACCCACCGGGGGGTCAGAGCCTCAGAACACTCAATGCATTTCACCTAGCACTACAGCTGGCACTCGAATTATTGTCACTAAAGTAAAAGGTCCTTGACTTAGCTCCTGAGTCATTCAGTTCCCTATTTATTTTCCTTATCTATTTTAGTATAATTTAACTTTTCTCTCAGACTTTTTTTTTGGGGGGGGAACCAAAACATTTTGAACAATAAATGTTGAAAGTAGCAGTTGCACTATTACACTTTTGTCTAGGTAACACCCTACATTAAACATTTAAGGAATTTTTCAAAATGAGAATTTAAATGTTCACAATTTGGTCTGCTTGTTCACAAACAGCAAGTCAGCACAGAGATCTTGGGGCATCTCCTGGAGGTGGAGTGATAAATCAGCCACATGCCTATTGTGGCTTTTTCTGTTTACAATTTTTTCTTCATTATTTCAAAGTTATTTGCTGTTCAAAATAATTTTCCAAATAATTTCTGTAATAAATTCTTGGTCTGTGGTTGACTCATTCAAGAGCAGTTTTTGCAAATATTTCCATATCTGAAATTCAAACTTTGAGCTGTTCTGTTTAAATGTCTAGGACGTGTGATACACTTCTGCTCTTTGACTGAATAGCCATAATTAAGAATCAGATGTCTGGTGCAAATATTTGGATCTACAACACTAGAGTCTACAACACAGATTTATTAATAGTCTTCAAAGTTGACTTAAAAGTGACTGCTTATGTGATCATTCCTGAATTTTTGTGAAAAGCCAACTCAGAAGAGAAGGGGACACAATGAAACCTCCATGACTAAAAGTCCAGATTTCAATTTCATTGAGGGTATGTCTACACTAGCCCCCTAGTTTGAACTAGGGAGGCTAATGAGGGTGACCAAAATTGCAAATGAAGCACGGGATTTAAATATCCCACGCTTCATTAGCATGTTCCCGAGCGGTTGCCATTTTGGAAATTGACTAGCCCAGAATAACTGCCCGCGTCTACACGTGGCAGTGAAACAGGAGTTCGAAATAAAGCCTTAACTCGAATTAGCTGTTATTCGTCCCGGAATAAGGTTTAACAGCTAATTCGAATTAAGGGCTTTACTTCGAACTCCCATTTCACCGCCGCGTGTAGACGCGGGCAGTTATTCTGGGCTAGTCAATTTCTAAAATGGCGCCCGCCAGGGAACATGCTAATGAAGAGCGGGATATTTAAATCCCGTGCTTCATTTGCAATTTTGATCGCCCTCATTAGCCTCCCTAGTTTGAACTAGGGGGCTAGTGTAGACATACCCTGACTCTTTTGAAGCATTCACTTTGCTCCCATAGGTTAACCATTTTAACAGTAGTAAAAATAAAGTCACGTACTTTGCAGGGCCTTTTGCAAAAAGACTGCAGTGCAGGAGTTCATACTATCTCAAGGATCTAGCCATAAGCCATTTCTTCAAGGTGGTATTTAATAACTATCATAAGGTTTAAAAAAGTATCTTTAAATCAAATAGAATGTCAGAGGAGATGTTGGAGAGTCTCTCACTGAAGATTCTTCAGAGCGTATAGGTGTTACCTTCACCCCTGTCAACTCATGTCTCCTGAGTCTTTAGACTTCTCTTTTAGGGTGTGTCTAGACTACATGGCTCCATCGACGGAGCCATGTAAAGTAGTTTACCCGACATAGTCAATGAAGCGGGGATTTAAATAATCCCTGCTTCATTAAAATAAAAATGGCTGCTGCGCTGTGCTGAAAATCAGTCGATCCGGCACAGCGCGGCAGTTTAGACATGGATCGATCTACAAGAGAAGCCTTTGTCAACCACTCCTGTAAACCTCATTTCACGAGGCATAAGGGAGCGATTGACAAAGGCTTCCCTTGTCGACCGATCCGCGTCTAGACTGCCGCGCTGTGGCAGATCGGCTGATTGTCGGCACAGTACGGCAGCCATTTTAATTTTAATGAAGCGGGGATTATTTAAATCCCTGCTTCATTGACTATGTTGGGTAAACTAATTTACATGGCTCCGTCGATGGAGCCACGTAGTCTAGACACACCCTTAAAGTCACCACCTGCAGCCCTATGTGGTAAATCTTAATGGGAAGGAACATCTCAGTATGCCTCCTTGGACTGAAATAAGGTGCTGGTGGTGGGGGGGAGGAGGCATGCCCACAACTTCTTTCCCTTTTCTGCGATTCTCATTTCTTTTGTAGAGATCTGCATGGAATCACACCGTACAATAGCAGTTGGCTTGAAAACAAGGTATATAAATACAAAGCGAGTACAGCTTTTGAAGCAAACTAAATGGTTTGCATAACATACCTTAACTAAATACTTTCCAAAGCCCAGAGAAGCAAGCTCCCCCTTTTTAGGAATAGAGTAAGGAAAATTTCTTATCTATAGAAATAAATTCCCCACTCTGACCCTGTCCTGGGTCGTCTTATAACTTCTCTTCGCTATCCATAGCAGTATCACTCCCATCATCTACTTATCTATAACAAGTCCCACTGAGACCAATAGGAGCTGGTGGCAGTTTACCAAGAGGGGTAGTTCTTCATGGAATTTCCTGATAAAGAACATTACTCTTTAGTCCTTTAAATTCCATCTTTGAAGAAGAAACTTTCAGGGTACGTTTACACTGTGGGCTAACGTCAAATTAAGATACGCGACTTCAGCCTATGTTAATTGCGTAGCTGAAGTCAAAGAACCTTAATTTGGCTTTTGGCACTGTCTACATAGCAGGAAATCGAAGAAAGAGCCCTCTTCCTTTGACTTCTTTTACTCCTAATGAAATGAGGGTACGAAAGTCAGAGTAAAAAGCCAATTATTTTGAAATAACAGGCTTGCTGTGTAGATGCATGCTCTGTTATTTCAAAATAACGTTGCTGAATAGACAGGCTATGAAGAATAACTGCAAAATCTTACCATTATCCTAAACATTTTTTAAACAAGTATTGTGCTAAAGAAGCAATGTTAAGTCAGGACATTCAGAGTTAAAGATGAAAGAAATCCAAACATGTTAAGACTTGGACATACACAGCAAACAACTATCACTGTGGGCTGCCCCCAAATATTTCCTTTTGTATGAATGCATTTCTTAACTATTTTACATAAAAATCCAATCTTGACTGAGGTGGTCTGACTCTTGCTTCCAAATGAAGAAAGGGAAAATGTATGGCTTATTTACACTGTGCTTAAAAAACCTGTGGCACTGAGTCTCAGAGCCCAGTTCAGGTTCCTGGGACTCAGGCTGCAAGGCTATAAAATTGTGTAGAGAAGTTCAGCTTTAGGCTTGGCTCTGAGAGCCTGGGAAATGTATACACTGCAATTTTATAGCCCTGCAAACTCATGTCAGTTGATCTAAGCCAACCACAACTGTGCTGTCGGTCTTTCCTTGCCATGTGGGCGCACCCAAGCAGAGATGCCTGAGAGGAAATAACTTGTTAGAAAGGTGTTTTTGAGTTTTGCTATGTTTGAAAGACTTTGCTGCTCGTTCGAGCTAATCTAAATGAGAGAAGGTGGACTAAGGGCTTCATTCTTCTACAAGCAGCAACAGCCAGTCAGCAGGGCCAACAGCCACTGTGGGCTCCAGGGCAAGGTGTGGGGAGGGGGGCTGGTTTCACACCCTGGAAGAGGCGGGGCATGAGGCAGAAGAGGAGGGGCCAGGGCAGCCAGGCCTCAACGCTGCCTGTACCACAGTGCTGGGCTCTCCCAAGCCCTGAAAGCCCCATGGAGTACACGGTACTATGCTCCAGCAGTGAATCAAAGGGGTCCAGGGCTCCTGCCACCGCCACTGCTACTGTGGCATATAGGTCCCTTAGAATCGCTGGGCCCCACGGCAACTACTCCCTTTCTTCCTCCCCCTATCAGCAAGCCTGCAGCCCTTATGCGTGTGGTGCAAAGATGCATAGGACTCTAGAGACTATCAAAAGCAAAATAATCTCCAGTAAATGGATTTTTCTGTGTATTTAAGAGAGGCTTGAGATGTGAAGATTGCATCTGAATTTTCCCCAGATCAGATTTCAGTTTCTGGTTCAGGTTTCTTGTAGAAGCAGACCCCATGCACAAAACTTGTATCTGGGTCTGGCTGATTTTCCCCAAAGGCTGGGAAGGTTGAAGTGTGAAGGCCAGGCTAGTCAGCGAAGGGAATACCCATATTCAAATATGGATAGAACTGATTTGAATAACATGGTGAAATAATTCCTGATGAATTTTGTGATATTTATTTTCGAAAAATATTCGGAAGACTTTTCCATTATTCAGCTGCTCTAGATATGGAATTCCCATTAGGATTTCTATTTAGAATACAGCCATTTAGGGGAAGGTTGAAGTGGGGCACAAGGGGTGTGAAATCCATTCCCCGTTGAGAGGGTCTAAACCTTAGGGCTACATCTACACTGCCCAGTCTTGTGCAAGAACATATGCAAATGAGGTGCAGCAATGAATATCTCTGTGCCTCATTTGCATACTTAATGAGCCAC